GGGGGGCCGCATGTGACAGAGGACAGGTGGCAGGTAGTCCAGGGCAGACCCCTGCACCCTCGGGGGCGGGCTCCAGGCAGAAGGCACAGCAGGAGCTTGTACTGGGCATCAAGGGGTTCCTGCAGAGGCTGTCGTGGGACCCCGGAGCAGGTGGAGACCCCTCAAAAAGGCTTTGCCAGGCTGGCGGGGGCTGTGGGATGGGGGTGGGGGAACCTCGGGCAGCGAGACACAGCAGTGCCAGCAGGGAGAGCGATGAGACAGGCAATGAGGGTGCAGGCGCATCGGCACCAGGCCCTCCCCTGGGCCCACTGTCCTGGTGACCACTGGGCCAACCTTGGGGTTCCCGCTAGCTAGCCCAATTGCCTGCTGGCTCAGGCCCGCACGAACTGGCCCCCCTGCCCTCCCCCATGTCCCGCCCTGCACACCAGCTAGGTCTCCAATGTGGCTTTGCCCCATGGCCCCGCCCCACCCCGCCCCCACCCGCTAGTCCTACCACCCCCCACTCTCCCAGGAGCCGAAGCCTGGTGGGGGGACAGAAAAGGGGAGGGGGCTTACCTGGGCGGCTGTAGTGCTGTGGGGACCGGGAGGGTGGAGTGTAGCGTCCCAGGCTGACTGACCCTGCGGAGCTGGGGCTGGACGTCCGGCATTGCTTGTAGGACCGGTCATCCTGGTCCCCCTGCAGGGCAGAGACAGCCGTGAGCACCCAACAGAACACTGTCCACCCCGCACCATGCCCAGGACCCCAAGAGCAACCCCCAAAGCACTCCATGCAGAGTGCCGCCCACCCGCACCATGTCCGGGACCCTAAGAGCGACCCCCAAAGCACCCCATGCAGAGCACCACCCACCCCGCGCCATGCCCAGGACCCCAAGTGTGCAGCCAGGCGTGGGCCCCTCTGTGCTGCCCGCTGCTCCAAGGGCAGGCTCAGAACCCCTCCCCCAAGCTCCACCTGGCAGGGCCTCTTGGATATGGTTTGAGATCGGGGAGGGGAGGGCTCCCCATGCGTGAGCAGGACTCTGGACCCCAAGGCACTGGGGGGTTGGGGCAGGGAGGCCTCTGCAGACTCATGATGGGGGCAGGCGTGTGGCGTGTGATGGCGGAGCCGGGGCCTGGGGGTGGAGCTGCCAGTCCTCTCAGTCCACAGGCAGGCAGGAAGGAAGCAGC